CCTTGGAGAGCAGGATGCTTTTGGTCTCTGTTCTACAAACTCTGTTTTGCTTTATCTCCACAGTGTCTTGTTTTATTGGCATATGCTGAAATTTGATTTACATTTCATAGCATTAAAACAAAAATCAAGATCTCTTTATCATTTATTAACTATTTGGTAAGTAGTTTTTGGTGAATATTTAACTTTATTTTTAGGTCTTACCATGGCAATATAAAACACCTAGTTCCCCAGATAACAGCAGTGGCTTAAACATGCTAAAATTGTATTTCCTTCTTACATAAAGAAGTCAAGCAATCGGTAGCCCAGGGCTGGTTTGCATGATGGCCCCAGGGTCAGAGAACCAGATGCGTCTTATCTACAGCCCATCTACCTGATGACCCAAAGTGGCTGCCTGAGAGTCAACCATCAGACCCACATTCCGGGCAGCAGAGAGGAGGGAAGAAAGGTGCTTCAGTTCCCTTTTGGGATGGTTCTGTAAAGTCCCAGGTAGCTTTCCTGCTTTTATCTTGCTTTAGACAGAGGGCTGACAGACGGCTTGCTATGAGGTAAGCTCAACTCAGGACTAGCCATCTCCCTCGAGGGGAGGGGAGGGAGTGGGCGGGGAGGAACTGATCATCCTGCGAATGGTTTAAGACACCACGATGAGCCGCCGGGGGCCGCTGCAGTCCGTCCATTGCTTCGGGCTGCACTGAGCGGTTGGTAATGGTTGAGATTTTCACGTAGAGCTGCGTGTATGCTGGAACAATTGCTCGGTTCATTTAAACTAGTGGCTACCAGAGCACGTTGGAGAACACAGTTGTTCTCACCTTGTAGCCAGTGACCCTCCCGCCAGGTTTCTGTCCTGCTGTTCATTTCCGCATTATTTTCCAAGACTTCCGGAGGAAATGAAAGCAGCCTGATGCTCAAATGCTTTTCTGTGTGACTCCCCCCTTTTTCTTTGAAGGAACAGCAAATTGCCTAGAGAAGAGTGGACGAAATTCCAACCCTCCATTCTTTAAATAGAAGAAAATTCCTGAAACATCCTTAAGAAACATTATTTCTTTCAAATGTGATTTGGAACAGCAAAGGACAATATATTTTATAGAACAACTTTTAAGACAACTGAATTGGCAGTAAGTTCACATAATGAAACTTCCAACAAGTCTTTATATTTCTCCTGGAAAATTCCTTGGTTCTTGGTGTAATTATTAATAATTAATATCAGCTTTCCATTCTTTCTCTTCCTGTAGTTGTAGAGTTAACGTGAAAATAGCTTGTTGTGTCACTGAGAAAGCCTCCTGGTCAGCCTTCTAGTTAAACAGCTTGTGTGCGTTTTG